TTCCTATTTGTGATAAATTCCTGCCTGAGACTAAGATAGGATAGAATAAAGAAGTAGACTGGCTCTGAAGTAAGAAATTTTGAGGCTGATTTCTTGACATTTTTCCTTTGTCGTGGATGCCACTGATGGTAACATACAAATGGTACTCCTGAGTTTTCCTAAATAACTATGTTCAACAGAGGCCCACGTCACCTTTGTGAATCCTTGCCGATTTAAATAGTGCTTCAGCTTCCAAATTTAAGCGTATACATGACAATTGTTGGCACCTTTCACACATCATTGTAATGGCTATGCACTCTGATGATAGAGTAACATTATAATATTAAAATCACATTGTAAAAATTAAATTATGCTAACTTTGTAGAAAACTGTAAAAATCTTCCAACTATCAAAATCTAAGCATATTTTTTCTCACATAAATGTAACTTAGAATAATTCTATGACAACATAGTTCCTTTTGGGACTATTTTGGCAAAAAATGACCTCTAAGATTAAGTTATTAAATTCCTTAGTCTAGGTAGATAGAGGAAGTATAAGAGAATACTTTCAGATATCGATATGAATATGCAGATACCAGTATCTTCATGACCAAATCAACTTTAATTGTACACAATTTTTACATCGCAAATAGTTAAGTAGTTCATTTAATCAAAAAATTTTTCACCCATGGTTTTATGGCAAAGAGGAAAATTAAAATGTTTATTGGTACTTTGAATTCAGATTTATCCACATATGTGACCCTAATATTTATTCATTTTGCTAATATATAAATAAATGCAGAACGTTTTTAATTTTACTAACAAAAACAAAATACTGTCTTATTTATGTTATCTCTTATATTATTAATATAGAACTTTACTGTGATTCACTGTATTTCTCTTAAGGCGATTATGAATAGTTAATGTGTAGAAATGTATTGGTTATGAATTCAAGATTTTATTTCGTTTTAATTTTTTGACTATGGTCTGGCAGAAGCTGTTTTATCACACACAAAGATCTTTTTTTTTTTTTTTGGAGAGGTTTTTGCTATAGGGCGCCTGCGCTCGCGAGACAGAGAGACAGACAGCAGGAAATCACCCCCCAGGGGAGATGGCCACGCCACAATCCCTTCTCCTCCATTCTCCTCTTGGGATCTTGGGCACGCATGCACACATGCCCTGTGTGAGTTTAAGCCACCAGGTCTGGGACTCTAACCGTGGTCGACTACGGGGGAGTCCAGAGACACAGCCACTACGCTAACTGCTGGTCCCACACACAAAGATCTTTATGGTGGCTGGCAGGTGGCATAGTGGTTAAGGATGCTGGACTCCCACATGACTGACCACAATTTGAGTCCTAGACCTGGTGACTTGCTTTCTCACTTTCCCTCTCTCTTTCTCTCTCCCTCTATTCCTCTTTAGTTAAAATAAAAAAATAAAGTGAAATAAAATAATTGGGAAAAATGTTTTAAAAAATCTATGCGTGTATATATATATATATATATATGTGTGTGTGTGTATGAGAGAGTGGTGTTTATGGAACAGTGGAATTGCAACATTTGAATTGCTTTGTATCTTTTGCAAAAATATCACATGGATTAAGATGCCAAATTGTACTAATTAAGGTTACTGCATTTATATACTTCCCTTCGGGGGTGGGGGAGAGCTTGTGTAATAGTGTTCTATAGGAGTATGGATGCATAGATAATACAGAAAATGATTTGTAATACTAAACAAGTTTTTCAAGTTATTCGATTGTTGCTAGTCAAAGAATCATACATTCAAAAGATGACACACTATAAACTTTTTCTATTGACAGAACTGCCCACAGTCCCATCTGCTGGACATCAAAATTGTTTTTCTTTGCAATATAAAAGCATGCTTATCTCTCACTTTTTCTTACATGCCTACCTTTAGGATTATGCCATCTTTCCTGGCAAGGGGTGCATGTGTGAAAGACTAATCATATTGCACTGAAAAAAAAATAAAAATAAATGTAAACAATCTCTTGGTAACCCCAAATTGAACCTGAACAGATAGAGTGAATGCTAGATCAACTATTTTTGTTTTGATTTCTTTTGTTCAGGGACTCTGAACTAGTTTTCTGATACAAACATGGCATCTCTGTAAACGTGGCATCTAGTTTTGCCTCTTTTTTCATTTCTATAGTTTATAATTCAACAGATCTGTTGTGGATGCACTCTCCCAAAGGTGCAGAAAGCAGTTTGATTTTCTCCCTTTATAGCTAGAGGGCCTGAGAAATCACCCCACATGTGTTCTTTACAAAATATGCTTAGTTTATTGAGGAAATTTGAGAATATATAATAGAAGGTGCACCTCCTCCGGATACTGTTCTCCTTTCCTTTAACCTCTGTTTTTGTGGCTGCCTTTTCCCCTCCTCTGTTTACTATTCTCTCTTCATCTCCCTTCTGTCTTTTTTCCCTTTCTCCTCTCTCTTCTTTCTCTCCTTCTTTTCTTCTTCACTCCTTCTTTTTACTTTTTCTTTTTCCCTCTTTTTCTCATTTTGACCAGTCATTCATGGTATATTACTTTTACCTCTTTTTGCACCTACCTATTCATATATTTATTTGTTTCTTTAAGAATGATTCCACTCTCCCATAAATTCTAATTTGACCTTGGGCAGTTACAGGGGTCTGTGCTCATGGTTTCTGCTGCTTGTACAAAGGTGTTCATTCGATTTTCTTCACTGTCTATGAACTGCTGCTGTCAAAATTACAGTCTAATCGCAAGGTGTATGGCTTATAATATAGCATAATCAATACCCAAAATTTGCTCCCCAGGGTGTGACATAAAGGAGCCAAGCAAAAAGCTGTAGATTTTCAGCAGTGAAGAGCAAGCGATCATTTTATGTTGGTGGTTTCAAACTCAAGGTCGATTTACACTTTCGTACATCGGCATTATTTCATCTCTTCCTCTCTCTCCTTAAATTCATATTGAATTCATTCAGAGTTGGCTATCCAACGAGCTGAAATGGAAGGCCAGTCAATATTGAATTATAAAACCATGTTAGCATAGTATATGGGTTGTAAATGAATTTAAAAGGAAATCATGGCTTTTAAAGATGCAACAGTTTACAAGTTTTCCAGTGTCTCTTTGAAGGATAAAGTTAACTGAATACAACATTATTCGATGTTATTTTTCCCAACACTTATTTTTAAGTATGCATACAGATAATATTTATGATTCTATTCACAGTATGTAAAACAAATCAATAACCTGGTGCTGAACTTTTCTGATATTGTTTTGAATTTCTTTATTCATCTCAACTCTAAACACATAAAGAAAGGCTTCCTTGAAGATGTTCTAGGCCCAGCTTCTGCTGCTATCGTGGCTAAGAATCTTTCAAGTTTTAGGTAGTGTTTGAGTCTGCAAGTGCGTAGCTCTCAGTTTGAGCGTACTTTCCAGCATTCTTACCTACATTACATAGTAAACTTCACAGTCATTCACTCATAGGAAAATATTTATTTAAAAATTATAAAATGAAAATAGAAACAAGCTACCTAAATACTTTTTAAAAACATTTCTCAAGGGCAAATAATACAGGCTTTGACATGCAACAGTCCTTTCCTTCTGTGAAGATATTATTTTGATTCATTCCTAAAGAAAAAAAATGGAGTCTCGCAGGAAATTACTTTATTAAAAATCTCTGAAATAAATCGGGTTGTGTTTTTCGATATAAGGAATAATGTGTTTTAAATATAAATTACTCAGATTTTACATGACATTGAAAAGTAACTACAAATGTATAAATGCTATTAAATTTTCTTCATTTTTTTTTTCCTGCCGATGTGCTGCAGTACTTCTGCCTTCTATTTTAACTATTTTTCATGTGGACCTTTTTTTTATATGCACAGGACTTTCTAAATTTGTAGGGATCATCTAACATCAATTAACAGACAGTCCCAAGGGC